GGTATGGTATGGTATGGTATGGTATGGTATGGTATGGTATGGTATGGTATGGTATAGTATGGTATGGTAAAAGTAGACCAACAGGCTGTTCTCCCTCATAGGTTAATGAAGTTTGATGCAGGTGTTCTCATTAGGCTCACTCTAGGATGCCACAGTCTCAGATTAACTAAACCAAAGTTAAGCCACATTCATGCAAGCCACTTAAATGCCCAAGTTTAATAAATCCAGATTAGTCTTACTCCTGTCTTAATTTAAGCCTTGTCTGTGAAACTGGACCCTTGAGTGCACAACTGGTAAAATGTTCATCTTCTCACCATCCCATCATTGTTGAAATGACTCGAAGTCCCATTTAATGCTTTGATGAGTCCCTAACTGATAAAAACTAATAATAAAGTGAGTGTGGGACTATTTTTAAAACATACTTGTGGGGATTAGCTGGTACTTATGGGTTTCTAAGCCTAATCCCCACAGAGGAAAAGGCCATTGGTGGGTCAGGGGTTTAAGGTTTGATTTTAGGTTAGATCTGGGTCAGGTATGTACCTGGGAGGTTAGGGTTAGGCTGTAGAAATGAACTGAAGTAAATACAATGTCCCCATAAAGAAAGCTGTACTAGCCTGTGTGTGTGCTCTCTCACAGCAGGCAGCGTGTTGCTCAGAGACGTCCAGGCTCTGACGTTATACAGGAACCTCTACACCACAGCCAGGCGCTCCAGTCCAGTTCCTCAGCTGACCTGTGTGGGTGGATCTGCCGGCTGCGGGGCCTTCGTCCCAGAGGTGGTCCAGTGTCTGAACAGAGGCTGGGATGGGGTGGACGTTCAGGTGAGGACTGAGGTGTACTTTTTCCACTAGCAGAACCAAACCAAGCAGTAAACAAACTTTTAACAAACACAGGGATTCAAGTTTTCCATCACCACAGAAAAATACAGCTTCTGTTGTTTTTTGTTCTCTCATTAAAGTCGCCCATCTAATGATCCAGGATTAAACTCAGCTTGAGGTTAGGTCAGATTTAGGGTCAGGTCTGTACCTGTGAGCTTAGGTTTAGGGTACAGGGCCAGGGTTAGGCTATTGACCCTTACGTGATGTCACATGCTTCAGAAGACCGCCCACTTTGCCATGAGTGTGTGCGACTGGTCAAAAACAACAACAGACAGTTGGTAGACACTGGGTCTTCACGATAAACTAGGGATACACAACATATCGGCACTGACATCAATATCGGCTGATATTGATGTCAGTTTTAGAATATCGATATCAGCCCGATGTGTAAAACAGGCTGATATTAATGTGTGATACTGATTTTCCATTCTTTATCTTTGTGTTTGTGTTTTGGTTGGTGAAATGTTTGCAGGGTTCCCACGGGTCCTTGAAATCCTTGAAAGTTTGTGATTTTACAGCTGCTGGTAGACATCGCGGTTGGAATTATCAAAGGTTTTTGACACCTGAGAGACACTGTAGCAACTCCTTTGTGTTTGGAAGCGGGGGGTGGGGGTGGGGGGAGGACCAGGGAGGATGATTCAACCACTCAACCACTAGATGTCGCTGAAAACAACAAATCCTACACACTGTGCCTTAAAGGGACCAAAAGTAACGGGACTAATTAATCAGAAATCAAAATGTGACTTTTTACTATTTGTTGCAGAGCCTCTGGAGTCCGTTCCAGCCTGAAGTCTGGAGTGGAATGGTTTCATAGTGAACATTGTGAATGTTGTCGTATTTTCAAGAGTAGATGAGGATTAAATGATGAATATAAATACAACATAAAGTCACACAAACGTCCCTGTACTTGTTTGGTTTAGTGATGATTCTCCTGCTTCTCCATCACAGTGGGAATGCAAGACGGAGATGAACACATTGTACCGTTTTGGTCGTATCGAGGTGAGTTGTGAAGGTTACAACCACCCTTCTGATCCCTATGTTCTGAGGGGCTCCTGTGGACTGGAATACACCCTGGAACTGACTGACGAAGGCTTGAAGAGGACTAAAGGCACCTTTGGTTCTGCTGGTGGATTTAAAGGATGGGGAGGTAATATGAAAATACAAATGTAAAGTAATTTTTCTTATATTACAGATATTACATGAAGAGGATGAACATACAAAGTTCTGTGTTTCTTTATTTGACTCAGGTCTTGGGGAATTTGCCTCTAGTTTCTTCAGCGGCTCTTCTAAAACGATGCACCAGCAGAACCAGCACATATCTGACAGTGAGCACTCAGGAGGCCTGCTGGTTGTTGGTTTCTTTCTTCTGCTAGCGTTTGGTGTCTACAAGCTGTTCCTCAGTGGCAACACAGCCCAATGGGGCCAAGCTGGAGGTCAATATGGGTCTCCTCAAGATGGTCACCACAGCTCTACACCTGGACCGCCCCCACCAGGGTTTAAACCTGACTACACAGGTAGCTGCTCCTGCAGGGCTGGGACAAATACAAACACTAGAGAAATCACAAACCGTTATTCTGAAACTAGTGTAAGAAAATTTACTGTTCGTTATCTGAAATCTTGACAAAACCACCTGAATGTTGAACAGATGAAAATGTGGCAAGAAGGACCAAACAACACCAGTGACTGGAGAGAACGGTGGTTTAATGCTCTCTGTGCAGACATGAAACCAACACTGCATCAAAACCGGAAGTCCCGGTCTATATTTACGGTTCTTCAGTGCCTGGTACGCCCACTACAGGCCTACGGCTGAATCGCAGCTATATATATA